GACGAAAATTAGGCAACCCACAGGGCCATGGTGCTTTCTCATCACCAAGAATAACACATTTAATGCCTTAAAAGGTGAGGAAAGAAAAGAGGTGGGCATAAAGATACTAAATCAACACACCTTGACATTTTCTCAGAGAGACTACATGAAAACACAGTATTCCAAACAATTTCACATTTCAGGATGAACACTAACTCCACTAACCACTGCTCTCACCCAGAAACAAATCATTGCAGGAATCACGGTGGGATACCTGTACCCCGGCAACTTATGAAATTAGCTTATTTCATGATAACTGCAGCCAGCGTAACTGGTGTTGGGGACTCTGTTCTCCATTTCATTCACATTTTACTTGTCAACACCCAGGCTTTTAGGCTTGATCCAGCTCTTCTTTGGCCCCACACTAAGAGCTGCACTGTTGCATGACCCTTTCCAGATGCTGCCAGCTGTGCCCACAGCGTGTGAATATTCTAAATCCTCTCTCTGTCACCACTGTCCAAAGAGCTTCCTTCAAGTGCCCCTTGCTCCACCCAAATTAGCTCCACGCATAGGAAGAAAGGTTACAGTTGAGGACTCAAAAATTTACTTTCCTCTGTATCTACTCAAATTCTTGAGAGATTCTGAATTTTAACTAAGGCTACTAAAGCCTGAGTGAGGACTAATTCAAGAAAGAAGTGGAAGTCGTGTTTTACAATGAGTTGATTTTAGAAAGAAAGGGTTTCCAGCAAACACAGCTCTATGTTAGGAGCATGTGTCATTATAGGGTTTGGCAGGCATTTCTGGAACTAGGTACGTGGGGGCAGAACTGACTCTGGGTGGGTGACAGAGGAGGGCTATGTAAGCTGCTTATCCGGGAGGACTAGGAATTCTGAGAAGATGACCACCTTAAGGAGAAGACAAAGAAAAGAAACATTAAGAAATATTAGGATTCAGTCTCAGGAAAAGGCTATGTCTTTCCCGAAGGGGAAATCTCAAGGAAATGGCAGTCTTGGGGGGCAGAGAAATAATGAGATCTCAGAGGGAAAAGAGCCACTTTTAATGGATTTAACAGGACAGGCAGTGCACTCAGGATCAAAGCCCTGGATTCCAGCCCGACCCCCGGCATCACCAGTAGTAGGCAAGCTGGTCACCTTTCTAAGCCTCAATTTCCTGTTCTGTATGGAAGGGGTAACAATACCAACTAGTACTATAAAGGTTAAAGGATGGAATACAGATGAAAATGCTTATAAGGTAGTAATAGATAAAAGGTAAAATATTCTACATTTGCATGCAGATAAGTCCCAAATCTTATCCCCAGTCCTAACCTCTTTCCAGTACACCAGTGCCCACTTAACATCTTCACTTGTCTAACAATCATCCCAAACCCTAGGCCCAAATCCTCAGCCTCAGCTCCGGCCTGACTTGGCACACAGCATCACCAGCTGCTGGGCCACAAGCCTCATGGTTAATTCCTGTCTCCCCCCCCGCTCCCCCCAACATCTTAGCCATCAGCAAGTTCTATTGACTTTATCTCTGGCATATACCCATAATCTATCCCTTCTCTCCATGTTCCCACTGCTGCTACCCTCGTCCACACCACCATCTCTTTTCCCTGGAGCACTGTAATAGTCTCCCTGCTTCTTCCCCTGCTCCCCACTTCATTTTGCTCTCCAAATGAAATCTAGGGCGAAATGGTAAGTTACATCTTGCCATTATTCCTTAGTTCACACTCATCACCCAATGGCTCTCGTGATCTCTAGTAGATTAAGAATAAAGCCCAAATTCCCATCTTTGGGCCATGAGGCCAGATGGGGTGTGCTCCAATTCTCTCTCTCCCTGCATCTCACACAATGCTCCTCCTCCGGCATAAGCTTGGCTGGACCAGTCTGTCTTCTGCTCCTTCAATTTCTGGAGCTCATTCATGCCCCAGGGCTTTTGAACTGAACTCTCCCATACTTCCCTCAGGCTGGCTCCTTTTCAGCTTCAGGTCTTGACTCACATGTCACTGCCTGTGAGAGGCTGTTCCTGGTCATCAAGCTAAAGTTCCCCTCTCACCCCCACCAGTTGCTCTCGCACATCCTCCCTCACAGGCAGCACTTACCACCCTCATGACTCCCTCCTCACTGGTGACTCACCCTACTGAAGCCACACTGGCCCCCTGTGGGCCCTCCAGCCAGCTCCAGTTTAGACCCCCCTTTTATCTCCAATGCCCTCCCATCAGGAATGTGTGCCCCTTATTCCTCTCAGGTCTTCATTTAGATGTCACCTTTTCAGTGAGATGCTGTTCCTCAACCACTCCCCACGTTTCCTCTTCTCCTCCCTTTTTATTTCTTTTCCTCATTTCAACTCATCTCATCCACAAAAATGTTTAAGAATATAACACAGAAATGTGAAAGTAAAAGTGAGGAGAGACTGCTTCTGGGAAGCAGAGCTGGAAGAAGGGCAGGCACTGATGCTTTTCCATACTATCTGATCTTTTTAAACCATGACTACTATTTGATAAAAAAAATTATACTTAAAAGAAATAAAAACTATGCTCTGTTAAGGATTCCTCATCATTCCTCCTATTCCTGTGTTACAACTTACACTATGTATTTTTGTTTGTTTTTCCCCAATCTTTCCAATAAATCTGATGAAGCTGTAAGAAAAGGGGATCTAGGCTAATCAAAAGGTTTTACTCTTGGATTAAAAGCCATCTGGAAAAGGAAAACTAGCAAGATAAACTCCTCACTGCAAGTAAAGGTCATTTAACCCCAGGAGTACTTCTTTCAGCTTTACACAGAGATGTACAAATAAAAGCACCACCGGTCAGAACAGATCTCTAAAATCTGCTGTTTCAAATCACAGCAAGTATTTCTGTCACTGAACATCATCCCTACCTAACAGTCTGAAAAAGTTCTACAGAACAAAGACTTACTGACATTTTATATACAGGTTTGTACTTATAGGTGCTTACAAATCTGTGATTTTAATTTTCAAATATAGGGCTTTGTCTATATTTTATATACATGCACTCACATATAATGTATTGATTAAAAACCTTAGTAAAATCAGTCTATTCTCTTCAATTCTCCTATCAATTCATTCACATGTTCAACCATTATCAACTTCTTAGTATCTACGTAAAAAAAAAAAGGCTCTATCAGGCTTTCTGAGAATATAAGGCCATGGGCCCTGTTCTCAAGACTTTTAGTGGAATTCCAATACGATGGCTAATCGCGACAATGTCTGCCATCCTTCCACTCTCTGCACAATATTCTGATGGCATAAAGCACAAGGTTTTGGGACATCTGAAGTCTATAAACTGATTCAGAATGAAGATTCTCTCTGATGGTGTATACACTTGTAAAGCTTCTAGTGCCAACATTTTATAAGAAGGTGGTCACGTGCTCTTGTGCCAGCAATAGACCAAGTAAAACAGTGGCTATTATGGTTACCACAGAATGACAGGAAAGCATTTCAGAAAGTGTCAAAAACCAAGAGAAGGGGAAACAGTCAATATAGAGAATTTTACTTGCACTGGTAAACAGTGGAAAGCACTAGAACTTTACAGTATTTTAAAAAACACTCAAAAGGTATTATTAAGAGTTAGCATCTCAGGAAATATATGAAGTAGAGGTATCAATTTTTTCATAAAAAAATGTTGACAGGCTAAAAAAATCATCTGTCAACTAAGCTGAGATTGCTTTTGATAAAACAGTATTAGTCTGAGATAGTTTTTACTGATGGAATGACAACTAAGGCTGGAGTCTCTGATCAAACAAATTATAATATTTTATATAGCTGCTTTGCAAATAAACAGCTAAAATCAGCAAGGCGATGATGTGCAGAAGTTATGTCCAAAACAATCAATTAAAAACAAGGCGTTATCATGCTAGTCATTAGAAGAGAAAGGTGACCCTCAAGGTTGAGGAGCAGGACGTATAAGGCCAAGGTCAGTGATCATCGCTATCACCTCTTACTACCCAGGTGCCAGCACATGCAGACTGCTCAACAGTCAGGAGTGTGAGGTAGTTGCGAACATGGACCCTGGCACGAGGCTCTAGGGTCCCAGAACCAGTTCTGCCACCTACTGGGAACCTTGGGCAAGTTACCAATCTCTCTGCACCTCTGTTTCCTCATTTGTAAAATGCTGATAATAAGGACGCTCACTTCCAGGGCTGTGTGAGAGTCACCAGTAAGGAAAGGGCGCTGAGAACACTGCCAGGCACAGTTAGTGCTACAAGGGTTTAGCGCTGCTCTTAAAACAGGTAAGGGGCAGACAGAGCCCACACTCAAACCCTCAGACAAACTTAAACACTGTTTATCCTAAGAGATCCTACTGAAAATGAGTTGAGAGACACAGTGCAACGTTTCCTGAAAACAAACCACAGAACAAAACCACACACGGGTGAAAACTGAGCAGAAAACAGCAATGGAAAGTGTGAGGCCCGTCAGTGGGACTCACTGGAGAAACACAACCTAGGAGTGGGATAACCTAGTGGTGGGCAAAGCAGCGAACTGGAGGCAGGCAGTCTGGGTTCAAGTCCAGCTCAGCAACTAGCTATCAGGGTACCCTCGACAGGTGACCTGTTAAAGAAGGGGCGGGTAATTCCGATGTCTGGTGCTGACACCCTAGGATGCTATGATCCAACCAAAAATACAGTATTTTAAATATATACCTTTCATAAAAAATAGCTGCTGTTATTATTTATTTTTGACAATCTACCTGCACTACAGTAAGTATGTCATCAAGCTAGTTAAAATTTGGTTAAAATTTGTAGTTAAAATTTGGGCTAAGGAGTTGCAAGAGAATGAAATAAACAGTACAGAGAAGTAATCCAAAGGTACATGTTTAATACCACTAAAGGACAACCAGGTTAATGTGAGAAATAAAATGATTAATTTTGATAACAACGTAATAGCTTTTCAAATATAGAAAAATTTTTAATAGGGAAAAGTTATAAAATTTCTTTCACGTGGTTGATAAAAACTTCAGTATTTTCATTTTTATAAATGAGTGGAGAAACGAAGTCACTCACCTTTCTGCCCATGGCGACTACTGAATTTGTCTCCGATCTCTGGACGTCGCGTCTGTCTCAGCAGCATTTTTATCAGAAAAGCATCTTCAGCATTGGAAGATATCATCACTTTTTCAATATAGGAATCTGTGGCCCCCTTGTACCTAGTAGTAAGAGAAATCAAAGAGAAAGCAGGGTTTTCAAGCTGCCCTCTGTGAACATGTCGCCCCCAGACCACACTGTAGTTAATGCCAATCACAAATTATTTTGACAATCCCAGTTTGGACTCTTGAGTAGTGACTTTCATTTTCCAACATTAAATTCAAATGTTACAATTTCCCTTTTATCATCCTAGTGGAAAATGGTTAATGTTTACTAAACACTTATCATGAAGCAGGCCTGAAGCAATTTGATCTTCACCTCACATGACTCACACACCGTTATTCCTCACTATAGACGAGGACAATGGATGCTGAGAGCAGTCAGAGGTTTGTCCAGGGCGCAAAACTCACATAAAGTGGACCTGAGATGTGAGATGAGGCTGGTCAGACCTTAACTACTTCTTAAATATTACACTGTACCCAGGTTTCCGATTATTAGTATTTTTCACACTCTGCTCCTTCTCTTTCATTTCACACAATGAATATTATTAAGGGCGGGAGGGGAGGGATTGGGGTCAGAATGGGGGGCTGCAATTGTATGGGGAATATAACAATAAAATTTATTATTTAAAAAAAAATAAAGTTCTCCATTCAGGTGAAAAAAAAAAATAAAACTCAAGAGGAGGATAGTTTATTGCATGTAAAAAAAAAAAAAAAGAATATTATTAAGAGTGGATGATGGATGTATAAATATTAAGTATAGGGGCCTCCCCGGTGGCTCAGCGGTTGAGCGCTGGGTTGCAAAGCTGCCCACAGCCTCTGCAGTGCCAGTTCGATCCCTGGCTGCTCCCCGGCCACTGGAGGAGGGTCCCACATGGCCCGCAGACCTTTCCTGCTGCCTGCTGCTCCCCTCAGCAGTGTACTTCGGTCCTTCTGCCTGCTCTGCTCCCTGCTCTGGCTCTGGTGTATTCTCTCATCCTCCTGCGCTTCTGACTGTACCCAGTGCTTGTATAAACAAACAAATAAATAAATAAATCTTTAAAAAAAAATTAAGTATACATGATCCTCTTCCAAAGGAACTCATAATCCAAGAAAGGAAGAGAGGAAGGTGGGTGGGATGTCTGCAGTGGAGTCATGCAGGAAGGGGCGCGAATGAGTCACCAGCCCATCATGCTGCCGGTGGGGAAGACACTAGAAGCAGGGAGAGCTGCTTCAGTGGGAGGAGGGGGCTTTAGGGCTCAGGGAGCACGTAAAGAGGAACCAGTTCACAAATCCCTCTTTGGAGGACCTTTGTGGTGCAAGAAAGAGGGATGGGGTAATACCTAGGAAGAAATGCCAAGTCCAAAAAAGACGCTGCATTGTCAAAAGATAAGGAATATTTGAAGACCTCTGCCAGCCTGTAGGGGAGGAATCAAGACAAAACAGGTTGAAAATATGGGTGCACAGATGAGAAAAGGTCATTTAGGAAGGTCCCTAAATGTGGATGAGATGAAGAACCCAGGAAGAGACAGACAGGTTTTGAATTGGAAAAAAGATAATCCTTCTGGGAACAGGAAGAAAACCATCTGCATAACTGCCTCTGTCACTTTTAATTTGCTCTGTGTGTGTGTGTGTGACTCGTGGCAAGGGTCGTTGCTCCTTCCGCAAGTGCACCAGTCCACCTTCTCTGTGCTCCCATTTTAGGCAAATCCAGGGCACCCACGACACTTGTATTGAAGACGGGGTGGGGGGTGGGGGGTCAAGAGTGCAGTTCTGAAGCCAAATCCTTGCTCTGCCACTTGGAGCTGTGTGACGCGGTAAGTCACTTCACTTCTTGGTGCCGCCTGTTTCCACGTCTCTCAAATAAGGCTACTGAGAGGACAGAGCTCTGAGAGGCAGGGGAGTGTGCTGCCTGGAACAGTCACTGGTACAGCAAGGCTCTCTAATTAGTTATTATAGTAACTGTGTACTTGTTTTGCACAGGCCTTTGCCCACTAGATGTGACTCCTTGCAGGCAAGTTTGTGGCTTAGTTCAGCTCTATACCTCTGGCACAGCTGGCATGGGGGCTGGCACAGAGCAGCTGTATGTTGAATAGATTTGTTAAACTGCCTTCCACGGCTAAGGAATTCAGTTCTCCTGCGCCACTCCCCGCTTCATGAACTTAACTGAGTTCACTGGGGCTAGATATCACACTGCTTCTCCTAGTTTTGTTTTTATACCAGCATGGCTGCCGTTACTGGCCCGTGGCGCAGAAGCAATCTGGAGATTGATGAATCTCACTCTGTCATTGTATAGATGAAAAAACTAAGGCTGACAGACGGCAAGTACTTTATCCACTTAAGACAACACACAGCACAGCTAGTGCTAAACCCCAGCTACAGCCTGGTGTACTGGTGATGCCACCCTGAGTGGTCAGTGTATTTTAATTTTTTAAAGATGCAATTCTGATCACATCACCCTCTAGTGAATGAACCCCCAAACCTCCCCTATCCTGCCTTCTCAGAGGGCGCTGTCCTCCAACACCCAGGTGATTTCATTCCCCCGTGCCCTTCATCTTGCTGTTCCCACAACTTAAACCCAAGTTAGAAGGTCTAAGTGATTCCTCCATGTTATCTTCTAAGCCTCGCTGCCTTCATGGTAAGTATTAGTAATCAAACATTTCTAGTTCTCCAACCCTCCAAGAACTTCTCATTTCTACATTCCTTCTTTTTCTGTTGAATCTTTCCATGTATTGTCAAGGCACAACCAATACATACGTGATGGGCACGTCTTTGTACTGTGGCTGCTGTGGCATGTTACTTCCTTCCAAAGGAATCTGAGTGACTGTGGGCATGGACTTATTTACAAGCACTTGTTTGTTTTCCACTTTCTCTCCTAAGAAAGAAGGTCATAGACATATGATTACCGTCTGTGTGGAATGCAAAGGCTGTGGAGGCATAAAACAGCACATGATGAGATGCTGTCCATCAAGTCCAGACATGGAAGAAAAAAATCCGCCCAGACAGAGAAACTAGAGTTCAATGGGGCTCTTTTGCAATTCTGCAGCCCATTTGGAAAAAAATCAGATTAAGATCACAGTGTATATAAAATTAGGAAGCTAACCACATTAACAACAACAATAAAAGGTTAGTAGGTAGCAATTTTACACATCTTTCAGGGTTCAGAACACTTATATTTTATCGATATTTATTTTGACTCATAATATATCACTGCTGACTTACTTGAGGAGGCAATCAGCTATTTCCTCAGTTTTCCTGCTCTTCTTACCTTGGCTGGCATCTTTTCATGGTAAGCCCTAAGACCAATAACTATAATACTATCACACCACACTTATTTCCACCGTCACGTTGCCTGTGTTAACAGGGAGAGAAGTTCTCCAAGGAGCAGAGGCAGCAAGGAGAGGAGGCCCTGTACTATGTGGGCTTTGGCAACACAGCAGACACACTGGCCACCCAGGCACCACAGGGGGCCAGGCCAGGCCACGTTTGTTCCCTTCCTTGTGGCCTCCCACCCTGCCCTGCTCTCCACCTCGCCACGACACCTGCTGCCTGGTCTGCCACATGAGCTCTCACTGGTCCCCTCTGCTTTGGCTCCTTCTCCCACTTCCTCCACACTGTAATCAGAATGACCACTTCAAAATGCATCACATCACAGCATTCAGGATCACCATGACAAGGAGCGAGCTTCCAGGCCTTGGTCTGGGCACTGGCCCCCACACGTGCCCACCAAGCTCCCACTCCTCCACACGTGCCTCGTTTAGCCAGAATGTGCTTCTTTAGATCCTCCAACTATCGGCACAGGCCTTTCCCATGGCTTAGTGCACATCGCCTGCCCCTCCTCTGCCCGCACCCCCCACCCCGCCCCTGCCCAGGAGTTAACTGCACTTATCTTCAGAGCTCGGCTCACTTCCTTGGGGGAGGCTACCTCGCTCTTCCTGACAAGGTCAAATCCTCTTGTTACAAAGTGGCCTGAAAACCCCTGTGCCATTCCTTAACCTGCTGCCACGTGACCTACGTTTGCACGTGTCTTTGGTCAATGTCAGCCCCCACACTAGTCTCCAAGACTCACACGGGCAGGAGCGGTGGGTTGCATCAACATAATTCACTGAGATTTATAATAACTACAGTCCCATTCTTTAGGGGAAGAAGATTTTAAAGTCAGTCTGGAAGCTAAAGGCACAGAAATAACAGTGTAGATGCAGGGATATGATCTTATCCTAAAAAAAATTTTAGGAGACTTTTCCGTGATTCAAAATTATGTGACCAGAAAAGTATAACTAGAATACGTTACCATTATATAAAAACACACCTACAGAAAAACAGACTATACAGAAGCACATCTCAAGTGACCACACTGGTTGTTAGGATAGAGGTTTTATTGGTTGTTAATTTCTCTACCCTGTTTACCAAATATTCAGAAATATTATTGCATAATTTTCATAATTTCTAAAAGCACACACTCGCCTGTATCCTTTAAAGGCCTTTACCTGGAGAACAGATACCATCCGCATCTAAAATTTCATGTCGCCAGATGGGTTTCCTCGTGGCAGCATCCAACATCGGCCCCATCACTTTATCAAAAGTCTGATTGGTATATCTTTTCAATGTGCATTTTGCATTTTTATATACAAGGCAACGCCCAAAGCCTAAATGAAATGAACATGGTATCAGAATACAAAACTATGAGAAAACATCGACTGCAGATATTTGTGCGATTCAACAATCGGGCCCTTTCTACCTCATTTTCCTCACTCCTCTCCCTACCCTATGCTTCCCCAAATTAAAAACCAAATAGGGACCTCCCTGGTGGCGTAAGGGGTTAAGCACCATACTATGAAGCAATCCGCAGCCTCTGCAGCATGAGTTCGATTCTCAGCCAGCCAGGGAGCAACCCACATGGCGCAGCAGACCTCTCCTGTCCCGCCCGCTGCTCCCCTCAGCAGTGTGTTTCAGTCAATCCACTTTTTCTGTTCCCCACTCTGTCTCTGGTGAATCCTCTCACCCACCGCATCTCTGGCCTATACCCCAGCTCTTGTATGCATAAATAAATATTTTAAAATAAAATAAAATAAAATAAACAAAAAAGACAAAGTCCAAACTGCTGTACATTTGGATAGACTAGGGAGGGGACAAACCAAGTAATAATTTGGTCATCTAAAGAGCTGGCTCAGGCTTGTCCCCCACCTATTGTCCATGAAAACAGTGGAATCTCAGTAACATTTTCTGCCACCTTGTCATGCTGGAGAAAGGTGGGACAACTCTAAGAGTGTCACTGTGACTCACCGAGAACGCAGGGCCAGAACATGGGAATTGGAAGGAACCCAGAGCCTCCTGGGGCTTACCCCTCCGCCTTACAGGCACTATAGGAAATCAAGCAGCCAAGTCACCCAGCAAATTGGTGGCAGAACTGAAGAGTCCACCATCAACTGGTTCAGCCAGGATGCTTCATACATATCCTTTCAGTACCTAACTTATGCTAACCATTGCTAGGAAAGTTTTCTAATTTTGGAATTCAGAGGAAGTCCCAAACAAGCAAATAAAAAATTTAATGTTTCTCTGGAAAAGAGAGAGAATGAAAAGCAGCAACAATAAATGATTTTAAAGGGAGAGAGTTCATCTCTGCCTTGATGGTTCTTTACTCTGATTACATTTTTATCACATTTACTTAGTGGACAAGGACAAAATCCTGAGATCACCCAATAACCTAAGCATTAAGAAAAATAAGCAAAATGAAAATACAAAAACTTTTAGGTAGAAAAGAAAGCTCAGCCACTGAATTCCACATAGGGATTCATTAGTTGCAGAGCTGTCCAAGAGAGCTCTCATTCCTTCAACACTAAATATCACTCCCCAAGATTCTGAAGCTACGTTTCTTTCTCATTTTCTTTTTTCCCTTTGGCCAAACAGTTATTTTAAACTGGATTCTCTCTCTAATCTCCCCCAGGATACAAGAGCCATGTCAGAGTTCACTTAAATAGGAAAATATCTCCAGATGAAATGCCAGCTATTACTGATGAAATAAATGCGTGACTGTAAAATCCTGTACTTGTGATTCTCCACCAAAAACAAAACTCTTTCAAGAAATCTAAGAATGTGAGTTTAGAAAATCAATCAGGGAAAAGTAGACTTCTAAATAAAATCTCCATGCTTTAATGTAATTTTTTAAATACAAAGGTGACCGTGCAATGAAATGACAAATTTCTACAACTAGAGGGTGGATGAAGATGTTTGTGTGGCTCTGAGCAAGGTCTTAGCCATCATGGGCTAATAAATTGTGTATGGCCACAATAACCTCAGCTCGAGAACCAGCTGCTTTGGAAACATTACATGATCTTGAAATTTTGCACAATAGCCATTAACTGCAACCCGCTGGAGTGCGGTGTGAATCTAACCTGCACAGAATCAAGAAGCGTTTTCTCCTAAGTGTAAATGGACATTTTATTTACAGGTGGTAGCTTAAAAGCCAGAGGACAGTAAACTCACATCATTAAATTGTGCTGCGGAGTTTCTGACAGATATCACAAAGTCTTCAGATTTCCGCATAAACGTTACCAGTTAATCAGAAAGGAAAACATCGAGTTTTAAAGCATGGCTGTTGTCATTTGGAGGAAAAAAAAAGAGGCATAAATTAAGTGGAGCTAACATTAATGCCAAAGACACATGTCTAGGAGTGCTATTACGGCTGCCTAGCAACTACAAAGAGTGGAGGGGCTACGCCAGGGAGGAGAGACAGATCATGAAGAGCGAAGTCAGACTACAGATCAGGTGATGGTGAGCAAACCAGGAAGCAATGACTTGCAAAAGTGAACTGCCAAACCCGGAGAAAGGAAAGCACGAACTCTCTGAACCAGAGTTTGTGCTTGTGCTTTTTTATTTTTATCTTTTTACTAATAAAAAGGTATAACATGATGGAGTTCAGAGATACCACTAAAAAATTGGCCTTTTATATGCAAATATTGTTAATGAGCTCCTCTCCAACAGGTCTGCTGCTGACCAAATCACTAGATATATTCGAAAAACATATTTCATTTGCTGTACTCTCTGCTAGAAAATAAACACATTCTTACATGTTTTCTGTGGAGGGATTGTCTCGAATGACCAAAAAATATCAATAAAGGAAAAAAAAAAGATTCCTTAGTAGTACATCTAACAAATGACTTAATACTCATTAAAAAAAAGTCAACACTGAAACACAACCAACCACTTTTTTATTATAAAATTCAAATCACTTGAAACTAACATTAACATGTAACACTAAGGGATTTTTGCACTGATCACCTCACATTTAATTCTATGCAAAGTTTTCCGTGCTTTGAAACGTTACTCACCTCTGTCCAAGGAGGCCTTGTTTAAGACAAGAGCATCTTCAATGTCATAGCCACTATAACTCATCACGGCAACGGTAGCATTCTGTCCAGCTGGCAATTTCTCAAACTCTATCAACTCAATGGTCTTTGTTTTAACCATGGGCTTTTGTGGGTAAGCGAGAAGGTACATGAGCGTATCAATTCTGTTCCGCTGGTTGTATCCAATGGTACCTTGATAATGGAGACAACATAATGCAACATACTGTTGTGTGCAATAATTAGGTAGCAAAGAACACAGAGGTCAACATATTAGGGTCACTATTAAAACAAAGACAATCTTCAAGTCAAACATTTCAAAAGCAATACCCTTATTAGTGTCTGACAACTTTTAAAAACATTTTTCTCACAATTTTTTAGTGAAAAACCAATATATTTATGATAGACTAAATCATTTCAACTTTTTGGATTTAATTAATCCTACTTGAGAATTTTAGTCTCATTGGTTATTTTCACAAGTAAATTGACAATTCTGGTCTGGTTCTACTATGTTCCAGGAACACATCCAGTTGCTGGAGGCAGGTAATTGGAGAATAGCAGCCAGTGCTGACTGATAAGGAACTTATACAGTGGGATAAACAGATATATCTCACCCAACAAAGTCACAGTTACCAAAGTCCTACATGAAAAAAAAAAAAAAAAAAACCCTAGAAAAGGGAGGGAATGAACTGAAGAAGAGGAATTCAAGCAAACACAGAGAATGTATTTATTCATCTGTATAACTACTCCTTTGCTAAAGCAGTAGGGAACATCTACTCTGCAGCTAAAATGGGGAACCGCCTGGTCTCTTCCTGTTAGGAAGCTGGGGCGCTGTCCAATCAGGGCTGGGCACTTCCCTCCTTAGCCACCAGGCTGTCCCCTTGGAAAGGTGGACTGGAAAGATACACCTTTGGAAGGTGTACGCCTTGGAAAGGTGTACTGTCAACTGGAAGTGAAGTCAGTATGCTAACCTCTGTCCCTTCAGGGTTCATTAGAATTCACCACCTGCCTGAAAAACCCAGAGACCTTAAAACTGGAACTCAGGGCTGCCCTACTGCTGAGGGAGCGTGTGGGCTACTGAGTCTCCTTAACTTCTCCCCGGATCGTTTCTTTTCCCTCCAAGAGGCTGAGAAGTCAGAATAGCTGTTCATGTTAGGTGAGAGAAGGCAGCTCTGAAGTCTCTTGCACATGATTTGGGGGGCAGAGTCACAATGCCCCAACCCAGAAGCCTATGTGCCTGTTCATGGACTTTGGCTCTAACGTGAACAGATATCAAAAAGCATTTGTTTCCTTCACCACCTTCTCCATACTCAAGTCTTTGACTTCAATTTAGAGATGAAAATATTCAAGCAGCAAAAATAGTACAGAACTCCCAGACAACTGGCACTGCAATAAGCCATAAAACCTGTGCAGCACTAAAGAAACCAACACCTAGTAAGCACTGGGGCCACTATGGTCTCAGTAAAGAGCAAGCAAAGGGAACTCAAGGATCATGTTGTGAAAATTTATCAAGTTTCAGCTGAAAAACAATGGCTAACCTGAGCCTCATGAACTTCACACTATAAACTGCCAATTAATTTATGTTATTTTAGTGCCAACAAATAAAGTGGGTAGGCTACCTGATAATAGATCACTTACTGTAGAAATAAAATCACTGCTGCTTGGATCGTGGTCAAATTCACTGACAATAAGTTTGTCCTTTAACATGAAATCATTGAAAATTTATGTTGAGATTTCAGCTCCAGTTGTATACTTTACCCAGCTTGAGACGAGGGTGCAGGCAATGTCCCGCCAGGCTGCCAAGCATGTTTTCTGAGACCTGAGACAAGCAATATCATGCAGCAGGGAAGCAGGAGAGGCCGCACCTCTGAACAATGGCAGGAGACCACATCCTGCTATGAACTGTGCTCCCGGGCCCAGAACACAATCCTGGTGTGTTACAGCTGGTGGCTGCACGGGACAACAACTGGGTTTAGCAAATGTTTGATGCTTATAATCTCATCCAAAATTTTCTTAAAAGAATTTGTAGGAATGGGCAAGTAATTTACATGCTTAGCAGCACTGACTATGTGTAGTTAAAACATGATTTAAACACGATTGACTTCTATGTTATAAAATTTCAAAATGCCATCTGATCCCTGACTTCTGTAAAAATTACGAATGGCTGGCTGTTTTGCTGAAAATATGACATTTTTTAGATAAAATGTCATAAAGAAATTAGATTACAAGGGGGAGATCTGGGTGAAGCACAGGTTGAAACAAAAAGAGCCTTTACTGTCCTCACCTCCTCTAAAGGGGTGCTATAGACAGCCCCCAACACAGAAAGTGTGTCTGTGGGCCGCTATCTCCTTCTACAGCCTCATTTTGCTAATAATTACAGTCTCCAATGATTTTCTTTTCTTACTACTCAGGACATAATCTTTTTGGACCATAAATTTCTTAAGAAGTCACAACTTGGCACAGCAAGATATACAAATGTAGGTTAAAATAGTATACAAGTTTTTGTTTTAAGGTGGAATGAAAGGAGGCTACAAATAGCTTAGAAAATGTGTACTGAAAAAAAACTTTATGTATTAATTTTTTCTTTCTTTGCCCAATTTTTAAAGCTTTTTTTTCTTACATTATTGTATTCCCCATACTTCTCCCACCACATCACCCGTGAGCAATCACCATATTTCCTTGTGTTCTTCCCTCTTCTGTTTTAATCCCCCTCCCTCCCCAGGCCTTGCTGTATGCCTCAGATCTATGGTCAGCTTGCTAGTTTTGACTTTTCATTGACCTTTTGTTTGGTTTCTCTATATTCTGCATATAAGTGAGACCATCCAATATTTATCTTTTTCCTTCTGCCTTACTTCGGCTAGCATAATCCCTTCGCTCCATCCATGTTGCTGCAAATGGCATGAGTTTGTCTTTTTTGATCACTGAGTAATATTCCATTGTATAAATATATCACAACCTTTTGATCCATTCGTCTACTTTGTGCCCAATTTCTTTTTAATCAACATTACTGAATACAATAAGCTCCACCCATTTAAACTGACAAATTGATGAGTTCTGACACACATATATACCTGTGAGACCACTAACATTAAATAACACAGATGTAGTCTCTCAAGAAGCTTATAATCTGTAGTCTAGCAGGGAACACACCTTGATCATGATCCAGAGTGAACAGGAAAAAATGAGAAAATAAGCTCGGCTGTGAAGACTTTAAGTAAATGTTATAGATAACACTGCATATAAGATACAGCTTTTTATAAGTTCCTCAACCAAATGGGATTCAGTTTCCTTGTTAGAAACAAGTCTGTATTCTATCTGATGGAATTATTATGATCAAAATGAGAAATATATGTAAAGTATTTGGCTATTCAGTAAGCGGCAAAATTCATGTGGCTAATATTAACATTAGTGGTGATAAAAAATATGCACCTCATCACGCTGCAAATGAACCATTCTACCTGCAGCTTTAAATGTACATCCTGACCTTTAGTTTAATTTTACCTTGATAAGGAGTCTCAGGAAATGTTATATAAGTTTACACAGCTACATAATGAATAAAAATGTTTTTTGAATAATATCAGAATTCTTAAAAATAATTGCCAGGGATGATTTGGTCAAGACAGCATCTCATTTTGTACCCCCAAATGGACAAAGAATAAACATGCTTTTAAAAAATTAAAACAGAGGTGGGGGAGGAGTAGAACAAAATAAAATTTCCCGGTCCATCCCATTCTACTCTAAAATGGGGTATACAAGGGAAAGAACTGTCTGCTTAGAAATAGAATCTACTGAAAACAAAAACACTGAGCAGCATTAGCTCCTGAGTATAAAAACAAAGTCCCAACAATTTGGAGCTGAGGGGGAAGGGGTGGTGCGCAAGTGGGGCCGGGGGAGGTATGTGATGCATATTCATGACTGGAGCTGATAGTGACCGCAAGGTCCTTTTAAACAGAAAAAAGTATTCCACCAGAGGACTGCCAACTAATAAAATGGGCAGGATATGAAAGTGTGACTCATGTGAGCTGGAAGCCCGGGGCCAGGGAGCACACACAATGCAGCGCTGACCGGCCTTTACTTTAGCCTGAGTGACCCGGGACCTCGCCTCTCCACACCGCCCACCTGACTTCTGCTCCATGCAGGGAGATGTCTCTCAGGAGCACAGGAAAGTGCTTGTGTGGGAACTTGCACAGCAAGAATATCTTAAATAGCCTTAGATATAAGAAACACCCTCTGCTGGTGTTCCCTGTTGGTTTAAAGCCAGCTCTCTTTTTCGTACAAGGTGAAATTTCAGTCTCTGTGTAATGAACTAGTCTTGGTCTCTGTAGTGACAGAAAATGACTTTCTCTCATTTCTCCACTCCATGGAGCAGGAGGGGCTGGTAGGGAATGGCAGAGAGCAAATTTCCAAGGGAGGCTAGCATTTGGAGAATTAATTCTGGGCTACTGTCCTCTACTTTCCACATGGACTGCTAGAAGGAGGGCAACTAAAGATTATTTTAGAAATTCCATACAGAATCTCTGACATGTTTACAGTCTTCAACCATGGCTCCTATTTCAAAGATACCATGACTTTTAGTTATGAGCTGTCAAGTCTGCATGGAATTAAAAGGACCAGAGAAATCCAACTTCGAGTGCCAGGCCTCCTTCACAGACCTGGGTCTTTGCTTGGGGTTCTTCCCTTTGCCTGTCTTTTTCCTTTTGTGATTTTTCATATAGACCTCGCTCAACTCTCTGCAGCTATTTCCAGTGTCCCAAAAAAAATGTGACCATGTTCTGTGCCAACTTTAAATGTACTTTTATCTTGCTGCTTTTCTTTCCAGTCAGGTGTTTTGTAATAACAAATAGTAACAAAGCCTTTTTTTTATTACTTAAGATATTCAGTGGCTTTTGTCTTCCCAGCGTCAGCAGTAACGTCAGAGGATTGTATCCAAGGAGCTAAATGTGCAGGACCCAGGGTCAGAGCAGCTGAATACACCAACCTCAGAAAACACAGACAATGAATTGCAAATGACACTCAAAACAAAACGAGAAAAAAAACCTTCACACAGAAAACTACAAAAGAACTCTACAGACACTGAATTGGCTTTCTGTACACACTGATCCTGCTTAACTGTGTGTGGTAACTAACCAAACGTTTCAGATACGCAAGGCCACAAATAAAGACTTTTTTTTCCTGTAGGAAGGGGGGTTTACAAAAATAAAAATATTTTTTCTCTTCTTCAAGTTTCTTCTGTATTTAAAAAAAAGATTTGCGAGATGGAGATAGAGGCGGCCCTTTCTGTTTCAATCTTCAAACACACTGAGCAGTGGCGTGAGCGATGAAGTGATTAGTCTTCCCTTAATTCTGCTGAAGGTTCTACACAAAAGGTGTATTGTTTCAGCCGGGATTCACATCATGAAACAAAATGGTTTGGTAAACCCAATAGGAGTGATAGCCCTTTCATGACACACAGGGTTCAGTACTGTATATTTCAACTTGTTAGCAAGTCAGAAGCACAAGCGGGAAATCGGCCTACACTGCCGCTGAGGATGAATGGGAAAGGCTAAATTGATGAGCCGCTGTTTAGATTTTCCCACTGGGAATTATTCTGAACTGTCCGGGCATTACATCATTCAGGTAAATGGCAGCAGGACAACATGCCCCTTATTCCTTCGTAGCCAACCAAAGGGCAATGTATAAACTTAAAAAGAATATCTATACGCTCTATCTTTAATGAGATATAGAATTCCTTAATTGTCAAGCTGCGGATAATTGCAGCTGATTTGCGGTAACTGAGAAGTTAAATGCATTCTGATTGTTACCCAAAGGTAATGCAAAAACCCTTTACAGTTTCTTTATGTAGCTCCTTATAGGATCCTTTAAAAATCAGAGATGACAAATCATATCGATGTTACTGACATACATGAAAATAAAATTCATTACGTTTATTAGTATTTAAACAATTTTTCAAATATCTCAAAAAAAACTTTGAGATATTTGAAAAGCAACCTTTTTTTTTTTTTTGGCTTGGTATCCTATCACCTTCAAGATAAAAATCAAGCCCCTTAATATGGCACCTCTCCTGCACACCTCCAGAATCCTAAGATACTAACCAGCAATCTGCCCATCCCCCAAAGTGCTGAGACTTTCCCATTCAAGGCTTGTTTATACTTCCACACCTCTGAAAAAGACCCACTATCTTTCAAGACTCAGTTCAGTTTTATTCTTTAGAAACAACCTACTCTCTAACCTACGTGACCTCCCACCTGTGATTTCCTTAGATCCTGGCTATTAGTTTATTACAGCATGGAGCTCATGATATTGAATTATCATTTCATTTGTTGATCTCTCTACCGGACTGTGAACTCCCTAAGAACAGGAAGGTGTCTCATCTCTGTATTTTTCAGGTTCCAGCCCCACTACCTGATCTATAGTTGATGCTCAAAAAGTATAATGGAAGGCAAGGCAGGCAAATTAATAGCTGCATGGAAAAAGGGAAAGAAAATAGAAAGGAGAGAGGAAAATGAATTCAGATATTGATGACACAACTGGGTGCTTCGGGAGCTACAGGAGTATCTATGGGGATGGAGCGGCGCAGGGACTGTGACCTGGACAAACACTATGTACATGCCACACACGCTGCGTGCCTGCATCTCTGTCTCTTCTGCTCTTTCTTCCATCGTTCCTGGTTAACGACTTACATTTTGTTGGGGGTTTCTCTTTATATTTACCCCATCATTACTCTCTGACATTTATTACAGGCCCCTTTGTTTGGTTTAGGGAGTACGTTCAGAGAGGTTTCCCCATTTTTGTTTGAGCGTAGACATGACAGAGGCTCTCTGAGCTTACAACTCTCAAATGTTAGTGATGCCTGATTTGGCCACACATGCAATACTAGTGAGATATGTATACAGAGACAAGCCAGCAAGCCCAGTATTTAGAACCAAATTCAAGAAGGAAATCTTACCCATGGCTTGTTTCCCCATGGCACACTGGTAAGTGTTTCTTGGCGACTGGTTATGATGCGGGTATGGGATCAGGCCAGCACAAACGCCAAGCAGAGTGAAGGGTTCAATCTCCAAGTGGGTGGTATCTCTATAAAGTTAATTAAGAATTAGACATCATAGAACCAAGTACCAAAATAAATATATCTTAATGGGTATAAAAATATTACTCTCTAGGCACCCAAGGGACCTAGATAAATGAGGTTTATATAAGCTTATATTAATATAAAATTTATATTTAAAATTTGATGGTAGCAAAACTGAAAAAATAAAAACATACTTAAATAAAGTATGATAAAGCATAAGAATTTATTTTTTTGAGCAACAGAAATTTTTATCATTTGTAGAAATACCAGAGAAGGGAGGCAGCAAGGAATGCCTCTAGAGAAAATAAAGTATTATTTCATAATAACAACAATAACTAACACCTATAAAGAAATTACTGTATATTGAGCATATACAAATACAGTATCAACAATATCCACATGGATAAGTTAAACTGTTATTCCTCATTTCCAACTGATAGTAATGAGAAAGTTCTATCACCATTTTAGAGAGAGGAATGAATTTTCCCTTAGGAATCGTTACTACAGCTCTGTGGGGGAACAAAATATCATAACCACTGGTTAAATGTGGCTATAGAGCATCTGAAATATGAGGACTAGTACCACTGAGGAACTGAATTTTTAATTTAATTTAAAGTATTATATTTTAAAACTTAAAGTTTAAGTAACTCACTTCAGTTACTGTGAATCTACTTCTTCAGTAAACATTATGCCATCAGATCAAGTAATTCTGATGAAACCCTGGCATCCAAACTGAGATGCACTATAAGCACAGAGCAGATTTCAAAGATTTGATAGGAAAAAATATATTTCTATATTAATGGCATATGGTCATAGTATTTTAGAAACATTGGATTAAATGGAGTTATTAAAATTCAGTTCATCTGTTTCATTTTACTTTTTTAGTGTGGCTACTAGAAAATTTAAAGTTATATAGATGGCTCGTGTTATATTTTTATTTTTTAAAAAGATTTATTTATTTATTTATTTATACATACAAGCACTGGGTACAGTCAGAAGCGCGGGAGGGTGAGAGAATTCGCCAGAGCCAGAGCAGGGAACAGAACAGGCAGACTGATGAAGTACACTGCTGAGGGGAGCAGTGGGCTGCCAGCAGGAGAGGTCTGCGTGCCATGTGGGACCCTCGCCCTGTGGCCAGGGATAAAACCTGCGCTGCAGAGGCTATAGGCAGCTTCACAACCTAGAGCTCAACCGCTGCGCCACCAGGGGAGGCCCTCGTGTTATATTTTTATTGGGCCACTAGACTATATGTTGGACACAAAGTAACACTTCACCTAGTAGGTATTAGAATTTTGATGACTTTCAGAAGCTATTTTTGTTAGACAACTCAGTTTTGGCTGAATGATAAAGGAACACAGACATTTCAATGGGGTGGAACAGCCAGATTACTTCTTAGGTCTTTGCTGAAAGTACAGATGCCACATCCAGGACTCTGGCCTCCACGTCTGCTAACCCTCTGTTCCTTTCTTAAGTGTTTCTGCAGCCTGACTTGAATAATTTCAATGGTTCACAGTACATGTGAAGAGAACTGATTCCTAACTAACCCAACTCATCAGAAAAAATTAGTTGCAATGTACATGACAAAAATCTTCCACTTACCCATCTACTTTTTTTTTTTAATACACTTTTATTGAATTTTGTCCCTAATTTGGTTAAAAGGAATGCTCTCGCTTGGAGAATATAGTCCTGACCTAGCAGAATCCTCTGACACCTAGCAGGTCTTTGTCTGCAGAGAAAGGAAGAGGGCTCTGAATTTTGTTTTCTAATTTTTTATTCAAGAGCAACAACTTATAGTGACTTTTCATAACATAGAATGAAAGAGTTGCTTTAAATGTATTACTTAGTTTAAATACTGGCTAACTTGACATTCCCCATGCAAATAAAAACTGGTTTTGCAAATGTAAAGATTAGGATAGTCTGAAAATTAATAAGATAAACATTTAAGTTTCTTCTTTCTTCATGACAACATCACCTGTAAGATCATTTATTATCTAGTAATACTTGAAAATCCAAACACTCTGGATTTTGATTTTACCAAAAAAAAAAAAAAAAGGAATATTATTATTCAAAATTACAACTACCAGTAAGTTTGTTCCTGAATAGGAATTAGGAGACTTCCTATACACTGTGCATAAGCATCTTAAATTTAGCTCCAACTAAGATCAAGCCACCTGTTGCTTGGAAACTGTTTCCAAAATTGCAAAACACCCAACTACTAGGGACATGTAGATTGACAATCTAATAAAAGCAATTAAAATAGATGTTTTATAAATACACATAAATACACTATAATGGAAAAATGTCCAGAATAATGTTATTAAAAATGGCATAAATTTTAAAAATCAGGACAATGAAATTATGCTGCCATTCTCACATTTTTGTGATACTATGTACATATGTTTGTATTCACTTATAGAAAAATCTAGAAGAGTACATATTAAACTATCAACACTGGCTACTTGTGGAGGGTGGAGTTGTGTGAGGAGGGAAGAAGAAAATTTATTCTTTTTATTTAATACATTTCCATATTTTAAAAAAGTCATGTCTGAATTAAATAATACAAACTTCTATTTTTAAAATAAAATGAACTTGATGTGTGGGAGAGCTTGGTGAATGGATGATACTGGTTCTGACAGTTATATTCATTTACAGCCACAAAAAAAACTGCTGCCCTCAAGAATCTTCTAGCATAGGATGATGGACACTACATCGGTAAATCAATAAAATATATATTTTACAATTTTACTGCAAGGTAATAAGCATTAGAGAAATCAGTGAAGAGGGATAGAAAGAGGTAGGCTTCTACAATATTTTAAATGGTTGGTGAGGAAAAGTCAATGAGAAGGCCACAGCTAAGCGGGGACCCAGAGGAGATAAAGGAGCGAGCCAAGCAGGCATGTGAGAGAGGGTTCCAGGCAGAGGAAACAGCCCGTGCAAAAGTGCTGAGGCAGAAGTATGAGTAAGGGGTTTTAAGAAGAGGCCACCGTGGTTGAAATGGAAAAGGGGAGGTGAGGTAGGAGATGCTGCAGGAATAAGGTAGGTGGGGCTGATGGTGCAGTGACCTGACAGTATCTGTAAGCAATTTGGAGAGAGATGGAAAGCCCCTGGGCAAGAAGGGAATTGAGAAAAGCAGTAACGAGACTACTCCCATCTTTTAGGCATAGAGTGTGTGGGGGCAAACAAGCAGTCAGAAGTCTTTGGCAAGAATCCAGGCAAGCATGGCAGAACCTGTACGAAGGCGGCAGGCGGAGGTGGTGAAGAGTTCAGCATTCCAGGTATATTTTGGACATCCCCATGAAAAGCTAATGATCAGATGTGGGTGTAGAGAAGGGGAGGAGTCAAGGTTGAAACTGAAGGCTTTGGCTTGAGTAATGAGAATAGATTTGCTATGTACAAGGGTCCTCTGTAACAGCCTCCCTTTATAGTCAATCTTGAGATAAGGGATATAAAAGCAGTACTTTGAGAGATTTATACTCTTAAGGAATAAAATTGACTGAAAAGCATTATTAACTTATAGTAAGACAAAAATAAAGTGGTATATTTCATCCAGTAGCAGAAAAGTACTTCTTTTGATTGAAGACATCAATAGTTATCAAGTGGTGGTATCACAGTCCCTGACTAGCTTACAATATAACTGCAAAAATTCCAATTCCAGATAAGTGGTCCATCAGTCACATGCATTAGACAGCAAGTTACATAAATGTCCTCTAATATATTCCAAATGGAACACAGATGCTACTAAAAATATCAGTGCTCCAGAAGAAACATCATGAACATATTAACATTTCATGTTTCTAATGCACATAAGTTTATAGATAACATTACAACATACTGCAGAGGGAATTCCTATATGGACAATAAAAATTCAGATGTCCATTGACAAATTTCCCTCTACAAGAGATAAATACATCTTTGCATAATCTTATTTGTTAGTTTAATTTTGGCAATAATCAATATTGAAATCAGAAAAAATGAATAGGAAGGAGTATTAATCTAAAGATGACTTATTAGCAGTTCTGTGATTTTTTTTACAAAGGTTATACTTCATTATAAAACAGCATATAGCATTTCCAACAGTTCTTAGTGAGAGTACACAACAGAAGAATTGAAGAAGAAATGAAAAGAGAAAAAGATCATTCCTATAATCAGAACAGGTTTTAATAATGGTTGTTATAGATCACACTTACTTATTAATTGTATGTTCATAGAGTGCGATGTTACAATCATTTTCTTCATTCACATCTAAGTATTCAACCAGACTTTCGTGTAAGAAATCTTCAAAATTCCTTAGGAAATATTGGTGAGATACATTTTTTAAAAATGCATTTTACTGCAGTGTTTTATACGCAACAACAAAAGATCCTGGTTTTCATTTGGGCCCAAAGTACCTCTCCCTCCCAGAGCATATCAGTACATTCAGATATCTGAAATGATACTCTAGTATCACAGAATGATCACAAATCACTGACACAAAAACAGTAAAATGTCTGTGGTCACTGTCAATCTAGTCTCCACTTCAAAAATAGCTCCTATGGCTTCAGGAACTCCCCAGTATAAGAGGCCCACAGTGTCAACATCATCACACTGGAGGAAGTCCTCTCCTACTAGAAACACTTCATGGTATACTACTTAAACCCAGATTCTTTAATTCTCATGAACTAAAATGATAATTTACAATGTCTAAGTAAGTTTACACAGAAAAGCATAGGTGTTCAACAGGCTGATATATTTAATGGGAAAGAATTAAGAAAATGAAAATATTCTTTTTAAAAAGTATAGATGTTCCTGCTGATTAAGTCATTAATTGTGGGTACTTAGGACACCGAGAGGTTCCTCCTTTGGCCATTTACCTGTATCCCTGAGCAAGCTCCTCCATATGTTTATTTGTGACTGTAGGCTTCTGTTTCTTAACAATTATGTAGGGTCTGGAGCAGAGATAAACAAAACATTCATAATAGAATTTAGAAAATGAAATCAGCAAGTGAGTTTGACTATAGTAAAATGAGGGAAGTTGTAGGTATAACTACTCTTATATCTGGGTGCTCGAGCATACAAGGTATTCTTTTTGTATGTGTGACTGTGCAGGGGGCTACCGCCTTCCACCTCCCGCATCCCAGCTATGTGAATAGGTACAGATGAACATACATATGGCACTTTCTCCAGGTAGCTTAGAAAATCCTGCTGTTGAGCATTTATTTGAATGAAAAGGCAACACAGAAATGATACTCAATAAAGTCTACAAAGAAAACAAAACCTTTGGTCATATTTTTAAAATCATGTAAATGCATCTTTTGATTCATACAGGGAACATGTGATCCACCATCCGTGGTGCCAGTAGGCAGAGAAGAACTGTCACCTGTCACTGAAGATAACAATGCATTTTGGAGAAAGGGTCTGGGGAACATCAGCTGTTTAGAGAAGTCTGATTCTCTAAAGTCTGATTCTCTAAGCAGCACTGGGGCCTCGCCAGCAGGTTACCTACAGCTACATACAATCAAAAAGAGTGGCTATAAATTTGCAGAGAAATAAAGCATCTTCACCTGTGATTTTAGCGATGCAGTGGAGGCAAGTTAGAGAGAGCTTTTGGTCTACACGTTCTGGTAGATTAACCTGTAACTGTCAGTGGTGATTTGCTTCTGAGGGCATCGCCACCACGAGGAAACACTGACACAAAGGATGGTATGTGGCACCAAAACGTCAAGAGCTGTTGCTATTTGGATAAGCAGCTCTTACAGCGAGGAGCGAGTAACCACTAGACACTTGTGCACTCTACCCGAAAGTCCAAATAACTATTTGAGGACTAATGAGCACTTTTAAACAGTTAAGAAGAGGAGCTGCACAATTACAAAAGGGGAACACAAGTTGCTGAAAAATGAACTGGGTGAGATCAACATTACCTTGGAATCCTGGCTGCCTCTTGGAGGGAGCACGGGCAGGGCAGCTCGGCCCCACAGCTAGTGGTCACCACTGAGTCCAGGTTAAGAGACTCAGAAGCAGAGTAAGAAGCAGCAGGAAGAGAAGGTGGACATCACTCCACGCCACCTCTGTTACCTCTGACTGTGCTCCACATATTCTAACTTTTCCTGCAAGATCTACGTTACGCCATTATAAAACTACTTTCAAAAAGCAGTCTGTCTCCTTTTTTAGACTGTATCTTATCATATTGGATGTCACCAGGCTACTTCTATCTAGCTTTGCATAAGTTACCAAGTCTCACTAATTCCTCATTTGTTAAGTGAAAATAATAATCTCACCTGATAGGGCTGAATGCAGTTAAAGCCTTATACACAGTACATCCATTAAAATCCTAACTAACGGCTAACATTTATTAAGGTTGTTACTAGTGATTATTTCTGCTTTTGCCAGCAGACTGAACTCTGAGAGCAGAAAGTAACTCCCATTCATCTTTGAATCCTCATGACCTAGTATGCATATTCATAAAATGTTTGCTGACTGCATTAAATTTATCTTAACAATGAAAGAGGTTAAAGCAACTTTAAAAAAGAAGTATTTCCTTCAAAAGTAAACAGTCTTACAAACTCCTTTCCGCAACATATACCTGCACAGCCTCCCTCCATCAGAGGAGATATAGACACATCGATCTGTAAGATTTGTTGAGATGGAAACAAATTCATTGACATAGCCCGCTCTTCTCATCAGTCGGAACGTGTTCACAAGTTTCTTATGGTCTCGAATGACACCCAAGATGTTACCTAAGCAAAAAGAGAGAGCAGTATTTAAGCCAGGAATAAAAGCTAAATCTACTTGGATTGAAAATATCCACCCAATGAGAATGAAAAGCAGCACTGCAGTCATTTTCATTATTATTATTGACAGCTAGAGCTGGTCCACAGGTGGCCGGGAAGCAATGCAGAGGCATGATGAAGGGCAGGCCGGGGTCCTGGGACAGAGAGCCAGTCCTACCACCTGCTGGCTGGCAGTGCTGGGTTAGCTGGTCTCACTGTCCTCACCTGTCAGAACTGTGCTGGGAAGACAAGCTTGCGGTCCAGTTCCCTGGGCTGGTCAATTCGAGGATTAAATGAGTTGGCCTCTGACAGCACCTACTCTTGAACTCTGCCTGGCACACAGCAACTGCTACTATTAACCTGCTTTTGTGATCATCCCCATCTGTGAAACGAGGACACTGGACGTTGTGTTCTCGGGTTAACATGAGGACTCAGAGGTGCAGGGGGTAAAGAAGGGCTCACTCGATGTTAGCTGTGGGGAGACACCAAATGAGGCAGTCAACAGCCCTGCCAAGCCCTAACTGCTTCCTTTTCAGCATGTAAAGGATTAATGCTATGAGGAGAAGCAGAAAGAAGGGGAGAAGAGCATGGGAACTAAGCGGCCGGGATCAGCACAGGGAGCCCACAGGTGAGAGAACAAGCACCCACATCACCAGAGGAAAAGGAGAAAGGACAAGGCAGACTTGCTGCTATGTTTCTGAGGACTCTGAAGGAGGCGGCAAGGGGTATGTGAAAGAAGCCACTAGAGCATTAGCTGAAGGAAAGAGATCCTCTTGCCACAGTCTGTTGACAATTAATTATCAAGTGACTGAACATAACTACCAGACTATTTCTGCAGAATGTCTCAGATATTGAACCTGAAGATTTCATGTTGAGTTTCACTCCACTGTGGCTTTGCTGGCAGCTGCAGGGGGTGGAAGGCAGCCAGTTTCTGCAACGTTGCTCTTTAGCTCTGACAGTGGAACCCCTCAGGCCCTGGCCCCAGCCCATGGAATATGGGTTCTGTACCATTTTTTTAATCTTTAAATTAATATCTACCTAGGTCCAGAATTACTGTGTGCTTTAAACACATGGATAAAAACAGATTCCTTCCCTCTCCCCAATGGATCATTTAGGGTACACCTATCTCCAAAACACACTCACCGTTGAGGAAGACGAGAAACACGTTTGGGTAAGAGAGCTCTTCCCCACACAACAAATTCACATCTTCTACTCCCAGGTTACTGGCTAATTTAACAATGGGTCCATCTTCCATGTCAGTTGTGATGTGCGTCATAAGGGCCAAGTTTTTAACCAAACCACATGCCTAAAATAAGAAGAGTCAATTCTAAGAATGAACATCAGGAGCACAACATGCAGCTTATATCTGAAAACAGCTCCCACTGTGCCAGGAGCAATGTGAAGTGCCCACCACCTTGGAGGGGACAGTGTGGCGATTCATACGAAAGCCTCAGAAATGCACATAGCCTTTAACCCAGAGGAATTCCCCCTTCAGTAACAAGCAAGAAAACGAACATAGGTGTAGCCACAGAAATGCTCAGCAGGGTAATATTTGTAATAGCAGATGATGATGGCGTTGTAAATGAGACATGACAACTGAAGTCATGTGCAATCCTGGATCGGAAAAAAGACTCTGGAGGGACAAGTGGCAAAACTGGAATAAGGTCCAAGGATCGATGTTAAATTCACAAGGCTGCTGACCGTGCCATGGTGATGTCTGAAGTTCACATCTGGCAATCTAGCTAAGGGATCATGGAAATTTTTTATAGTATCTTTGCAGCTTTTTTGTCTGTCCAAAAATTATTGCAAAATGAAAAAACTGTTTAAATTCTTAAACTTCTATACAACCACAAAAATCTATACCAGAAATAAAAATAAGGCTACAATGAAGCAAACAGAAAAAACACTTGAGACGTATATGACATGTAAAGAGTCTACCTTCAATTCTTAAAAACCATCTGCTGTAATGATGCACAAAACATGCCCTTCATTGCGATCTGGGAAATACAGCACTCCAAAGCTCAAGATGTAGAAATTATGCAAACTTGGCAAGCTGCATAATTTTACTGTGAATTCCATATGGTTTAAGATAAATTAGGAGAATGGTAATTCCTAAAAATCATGACTCTGCAAGGACTTGTATTTTTCAACTCTTTCAAGTCATAACAAATTCTAACACTTGGAACTTACACCTCTTACATGTCTGCAATCAACTTATTTATTGAGTCAGCATATATTTATGGGGCTTGTACACTGAATGTGGGTCTGTGCTAGGAAGTTGGGATATAAGGTTCGTTTCTTCGGAGGTTTAAAATTAAAAAGAGTAAAATGAACTGAAACCAACAACAGTTACATGAAGAAAGGGTCATGACACAGGAAGGGGTGGGTGAGGACAGGAGCAGACCTATAAACAATGTGGGACTCCATATTAAGTGCCTCTGTTTCCTATATGAGTTGGAATCCACTTCAGGCTGTGCACCATGTGCTCCTAGTTGTATGAAAAACTGAGGGGGTTTTACCTCTGACATAGCACAGAGATGCCTCGGATATCTTACCTCTCCTTCAGGAGTGTCCGAAGGACAGAGCATCCCCCACTGCGATGGCTGGAGGGACCGAGGACCACTCACTTTTCTTGTTTTCTCAAACTGGGAGGAGATTCTTGTCATCATGCCCAGTGCAGATATATATGACAAGCGAGACAACACCTGAGTCACACCCTGGCGGTCCATTTTAAATCTTTTTAGAGACCAGTTTCCCTGTAGAGAGATAAAGGACATGATACTACTGATTCGCTCCAATGCTGCCTGATACTCTTCTGGGAAGCCCATCACAGGAGCTGCTTGTTTATTAAGTTAGAGTCATAATGTTTATCTTCAGAAATCAAAATGTCTCAATTAAAACTTAGCTGGCTCACTCAGGGGGGTTTTCTAGGAATTTAAAAAAATATTACCTATGTCCAGCAACCATCTAAGGATGTCTCGCTGTATCAACCTTATATCAGAGCAGTTATTTTCTGAAGAACTAACTCTATCTTGGATAAGCCCATGCAACCAGGGATTTCCACTGGAAGCAGTAAGCTAACAAAACATTAACAATTTCTGCACACATTTAAAGTAAAACTGGCTTGAAGCTCAAAGAGATAATTTTATGTTGGAATGTGCCATCATTTGGATGTCTTCCAAAATTAGTCTTAATTGGAGGAAAATATAGCAACAGCAAATGACTCTAAGAGCAGTTATTAGGGACAATGAATTAACTGTAGGCTTCTTAATTAATGCTTATATAAATAAAAAATTGCGTATATAAACATATATATACATATTTAGAAATATTCTATGTCCTCTGTGGCTATCAGGTCAATCTTAAAATAGATTCCTATGAAATAAATCTTAAACATTAAGTTTGCTTTGTCTCCTATACACTAAATATATTTTCTTGTACAATGGTTTCATCAATTGCACACATTAAATACTTGCAAGGATATTTAAAGATTAAGGTTCGGAATTGTTAAATTTTCAACTCATGCTATCATGAATTAATAGTCGAAAATAGTATGCATAGAAAAGCAAGGTAGGAAATAAAATGTCAAAAAATTAATTCAATTATCTTTCTGATTCAAAAAAGAAAGAAACGTCTGAATAGTGTTCTTAGCTTTTTTCTTTTAAGAATCTGATGAAAGCTATAATGTTCTTTTTAAAAGGTAAAAACACCTCTGAACCATGGATTCAAAATTTTACATTCGGTTTTAGGAGCAGAACCATAGATCCAGGTTAAAAAAAAATCTTTGTAGTAAAGAAGTTGCTAGGGTTCTAGAAGCAGATCAGGTGGGCTGTAATTTTTTTTTTAAGGTGACCTGTGATTTTGTGGCAATTTCCTCATAAATTAAAGTTTAATGATTATTACAGTAAAGATTGGTTCAGAAACTTGGTTCCTGATGGTGTGGAAAAGAGCTAGGAAGAAAATCTATCCATCACAAAGCAAAGAAATAGAGCAAACACATTGATTCCATTAATTAACAATTTCTTATACTATTTATTCAGCTAACGTATGCTTAGAATAAGAAATGAACCTAGTAAACTGACTTGGGCCCAGAGAATAAGAGGAAAAGTAAGTTTAAGAAATATTCACCAGGGAGCTAAATGAAGGCAGCAGCTGCTGGCAAACAGGAAGAAGATGGAGAGGGAAGCCAAGTTGTCTAGCAGGAGAATTTGTTCTCATATTCTGCACAGGGAGGTATTTCTTGTATTTCTCACTACAGGGAAAGAAAAAAGAGGAGGGGTCTAAAACCGCTCCTCTCAGCAAATGCATGTGTTGGAAATTTCTCCGAATGGCCACACTCACAGAGGATGAGAAGCTTATCTTTTCTGTTGCCTACAGACTGGGCTACACCAGCAACAAGGTCTACTGCTGATACTTCTAGAAAGCAGTCTTCTCTGGGAGAGAAAGTGGGGGTCAGTCACAGGTGAAAAAACTACTCAGAAGACCTATTATGAACTGAAAATCATGGATCAGAAAGCAAAGAAAAGCAAGTTTAACAAGTGTGTTTAAATACTCTTTGGAAGCATCTTTTCAAACAGCCAGGGATCTGTTTTCAGACAAGTCTGGCCCACGAGAGTCCACCGGGCCCAGACAGGCACAGGGCTGGTGTGCCTCAAGCGCAGGTGTAGGTGCCACTGCAAGGGATGCTTGCGCTGACCACCCCTAGTAATGCAGTGTCTGCCTCCCCTTCTTTCATTGTTAAGGGGATCCATGTGTTACACTCTACTATTCTTTTGTTGGGGCAAAATCCCATCCATAAAACTAATTTTATGTCTGGCAAACAAAATGCGAACCAGACTTCATCAGATAGACCTACAGTTGTTATGTTTTAAGAAAGGGAGAAAAAAACCTATCTGATAACCCTTTGTGAACAGCCAGAGGGCCTGAATACACAGCAGCTGCTGAGGCCTGAATACATCACTCACATGAGGAACAGCTGATAGCCCTTTGAGGCCTATAAACCTACAATGAAATATTTTGTATTGTTTTTGACAAAAATTGTCAATTAATAAACCTGCCTGCAATGTGTCGTTTATCACAGGAAAAAAATGGAGGGAAGTCGCTGTGAAAAGAATGGCTACTAACGGTTACATTGAATTGTTTTTCCTCTGCGTGAAAGCATCTATGTTGCCTCATATAACTGCATTTTGGCAATTAAGTCAGAGAGATGTAACCGGTGGCTAAAGCCAAAGACTGTTATAGGTGGCACCCCCTGGAGGGGGTGCTGATGAGGATGGATAGCCCCAGGTGGGAATGGAGACTATGGTAAGAAATATAAGGGACAGCAGAAGGAGCCTCCAGCATTTAGTGTTCGGGATTTCAGCATTTTCAGATCTTCACCAGTTCCAGGGTCAGTGATTTCTGCCCCTACTGCACTGATCTTCCAGAAGGCTGTTGTGGGCCTCTGAAGGATGTGGAGAGGCTTTCAGCAGCCAACCTCAGAAAAGTTTGGAGGCTTTGCAAGTAGCCAAGCAACCAAAACTGTTCCCAGTTTTGCTGCTATTACAGCCTGACAGGGAAGGCAAAGACCCAGACCCGGGCGCCTCGCTGAGCTGTGTGAGTGGGGCCGTTTGTCGGGTCATTGGGCTGCTGCAGCTGCTGTCTTGAGTGTCACTTGTCTGGTGCTGCACTGGGGCATCTCAACAGCTCCAGGAGCATCTCCTGTTGTGTCTTCTCCTGTCTTCATGAGTTGGATCCTGGCGTATAGTCAGGCTGCCACATGCTCTAGGCCCTCACTGGTGGGAAGATGCCATCTTGGGAGCATGGCCTTTGTTCAGGATGGAGTTCCATTGTCCTCAGTGGCAGGAAGACACCATCTTGGGAACATTTGTGTTTAGGACTTTAAAACACTGGACACTGCTTCGGGTGAGGTAAATGGTCATTTTGGCCTCAGTAACTCTTTGTTTTTCCCTGGTTTGTTAAGTCAATCCTATTGTTGTTGTTCTCTGAACCTGAGTAGCCTTGCAATTAATTGCATGTGCGGGTGAAGAACTCAGACAGTGACTGGTAAACTGTCTGGGCACTGTCCTTGGCCAGTTTTATTGCCCCTTGCCACCCTGTATCAGAGTGACAAAATTGCCCTGATAACATTTCAACTGTAGACTCTCTTTTTCAAAACAGAAAATCTGTCATTTGTAAGCATTCTCTAAATACGTGCATACATACATGAATATTTCACCTAGATTCTCAAAGTGCTCTAAGTTTCCATCCCATTGGTTTACACTTAATCAGGAGAGCTCAGGGAGAGCAGGGACTCACAGTAGAAATGGCGTTCACCATGCCATTGGTGATCTGGTCCTGACGCATGTGCTTCACGACATCAAACTGGGCGGCTCTTTGCTTAGGAATCACCTGATCTGCAATCTTTTTCATTTCGGAATTAAATTTTTTGAACAAATCTTCAAAAAGAAGAGATAAAAGCTAAAAATAAAAAAGCATATGGTGAACTTTTAAAATATAGTATTAGCTTATCTAATAAACTTTACATCTTTTATTAAACTGCTAAAAAAAAGATGGAAAAACTGCCACAAAATATTTTATGAGATTCAGTGTGATATGTCCACAATTTCTATGTGCTCACCACTATGCTAGGTGTTGGGAATAAGAACAAAGATGTTAACATAGTCCCTGCATTCAAAGACATTTAATTTAGACCAGCCACTCCTAGACTCTCAGACTTCACTGACCAGTGACTAACCTTTAACTTTACAGATAGAGACATTAAAACCAAAACAATGTATGTGTGGGTGGGGGAGAATTACCATTATAGCCTGACAACACCAAAGGTGTGGTGCCATTTGGACTTTGCTACATGATTGGTAAACATGTAAGTTGGTAAAAACACTTACTGATATTGCCTCATTTTTTAAAGTATGTAACTTTTTAATATTAAAACTTAAACAATAAAGCTTAAATAATAATAAATCATGGTGACATATCTAGAATAGCGCAACCAAGTTAGCCCAACCAATGGCACAGAATAGCAAGTCACAGAAACAGACAGGAGGGTTTGTTTCTAGAACTGGTGAAGTAGCTCCTATCAGATGAACTTGCCTGTCAATAGTAATTGCAAACCCTAGACAAAACATTAAAACTATTTAAAGCACTGGAGAGTGTCCAACAGCAGGCAGAAAATGGAGGAAAGCCAAAAAATCATAATCAACAGCATTGGGTGCATCTCCTGTTCTTACAGCTTTTCAACTAACGGTAGGACATACTGGTAACTGAGTCCAAGATAACTGGGGAGCTAAAACTTGGAGAGAGAGCTACAGTTTAGTGGATTAAAGAGTCAGAAGAAAAGGACATGTCCTACCACAGTAGCTAGAGAGTGAGGGGAAATTCTCCAGAAGGAACGAAGCAGGAGAAAATGCCCAAATTAGGTATATAAATCTCTGCTGACCCGAATGACACACTGAATGCTGTGACCCACATTTCCAGATGCCCCAAATCAAATCTGGGAGAGGCTATGATGTTTTGTTCACAAAGTAAAAGTAAGTGAAGCTGTGACTTTCAAGCCTAGGACATTAAGGCCACACAGCTTCTGTCTTGTTCATGGGAAATACTCAAGTCCTGGCCCACTCTGACACCACAGCACTGGGGAGGTCAAGGCCCAACTGAGCCCAGCCTTCCACCCTCCCACCAACCTCCAGCAGAATGCCACCATCTAACCTCGATCAACACCATGTGTAACAAAAGAATCAAGCGGTCAAGTCCTTCCTGAATTTCTGACCCACAAAATTGTGAGTGATAATGAAATGGTTATTGCTTGAGCTACTGTTTTGGGACAACATGCAATACAACATCAGAAAACCACAACACTGGGCCTCCCCTGGTGGTGTAGGCGGTTGAGCGCAGCACTGTGAAGCTGTCCGCAGCCTCTGGAGTGCTGGTTTGATCCCGGCCGGCAGACGAGGGTCCCACATGGCACAGCAGACCTCTCCTGTCTCGCCCGCTGCTCCCCTCAGCAGTGTGTTTCGTCAGTCTGCCTGTTCCATTCCCCCCTCTGTCTCTGGTGAATCCTCTCACCCTCCCACGTGTCTGGCCTGTACCCCGGTTCTTGTATAAATAAAAATAAATAAATCTTTAAAAAAAAAAAACAACACAACACTGTATAAAGTTTGCAAATCTGAGTAGGTGATTTACTACAAAGTAAATAACTAGCATACTTCTTCAGTAACTAAATACAACAGATGTTTCAATACTTAAATCCCCTTGCAAAATTAATCATATTAGTTTTTTCACTTATAGCATTCTGTTTTCCTTTACAGAGGGGGGAAAACCCCCAGATGCCTTTGTACTCTACCTAACATACTATTGAAGCAGTATTGGAGGGGTACGGGCATTATATATACTCCAATTATTTACTTAAAGAGGAATTCTGAGATTCAGTGAAATCTTCTATGTTAAAGATTTTCTGAGTTCCATCTTGACTATATTTTTTGAATGTTTCCAAACCACAGGTCATTTTTTGACTCATAATGAAAAAAGATATTTAAAGCAAACAAGTCTTCTCCTCTAGTGACGATTGATGAAAGAATGTCCTAAGTATAATTAGACTGTATGCTCCTCCCTCTATGGTAGACACATCCTTCCACTTTTCTGCTCACATCAATGCTGCAGAGAGCAAAGTCAGGATCTTGGCCTTGAATCTACCATGTCAGAAGTGTTTTATAAAGAAAACTTCCTCCTCTGAGAGCTTAATCCTTTCTTCCACTCAGACTCAGCAGTTTCACTCGCGGAAAGAAAGAACATGGGAATGGAAGCAGGTGCAGAGGGGAGGGAGGGATGAAGCAGCCCATTTCAGCAACTTCCTGTGGAAACTGGCAAAAGGAACTTGAATAAGCATCCTGAACAGAAGCGAAGGCCCTTAACCTACACCACAAAAGCTCTGCCCTATTTTAATTAGTCTCTTACACTTAGACTTTTGTGTCTCAAATTATGACAAAGTTTTTTTGGCTCCCAGCTGAATTTGGTGTCAGCTCCCGGACACAAACACAAGAAAGCGCTGGGCCACAACGCACGCACTGGGCGGGAGCGCACTGGGCGGAAACACTGCCTCCTCAGTAAATTTCTCCGCCCCTAAATTTTCAATTTAAGAGAAATAATGTTCTCCAGTTCACAGAGCAGTGAGAAACTACAAGGCCAAGTCACACAATAAGCCACATTATTTAGGTCAAGAGTGAAATGATGAAAAGGGATGGCGTGCTGACGATAATGCTCACGACCGTTCACTGCTGGTATGAGGAGGCCTCACTGCCCCGCCAGGCAGGAGCACCGAAGAGCAAGTTATATTTAAGGGAAAAATGCTGACAGCTCATCAATTGATTTTCAATGAAAATGCTAAAAAAAATTAATAAAGAAGTTAAGCTGCTGAAATACAGTTTCACCAATTAGCTTAATGTCAGAGAATTCTAATTAGGTGCCTTGAGATTGCTATTTAGTGTTTAAGCCTTCAGAGTGCCAAACTCTCCTTTTCACACAAACTGGTTGCAAAATTAAAGACATTAGGCAGCCTTAATTACATTATCAGAACAGCTGGGATTAGGCAATCTCTGAAGTCAAGACGGCATTCTTTTGTCACAGGGTGGAAATCCCTGGCTTTCCAGGGTGCCGGATTTTGGTGCCGTTCCCTATCTCCCCCACACAAAGCAAGCTGCATTAGAAACAAAAAAATTGCAGACAAAGAATAGAGTAATGCTCAGCAAATAATGAACACATTACAGAAAAAGAAAAGGTAGGTGAAAAGATTAAGCCTGAAATCAGTGGGTTTTGCTAACACCTCTGCTGGCGGCTGGCCTGCCAGCCCCCTGGTGGCAGCAAGACGAGGGAAAGAGCCACGAACCCGCCTGGCCGTGGCTACAGCTGTTATCTAGAGCTGAAGCCGTTTATGCGCCCGCATCCCAGGGGATGTGAAATTAGCAGCTATTGTTTATACACATTTTCGCCAACACAATACCTTTTATGTCTTTACATTGTTTATAAAGCGATGTTTTCATACACATGGGAACCCTCTTTTTAATTCTAATTTTTTAAGCAACAGGATAGTCTCTCCATTCCTTATTCCTCTGAACAACCAACAATTTTTAATGGAGTCATTTAACAGCACGATTTTTTCCAAGTGGAAAGTAATAAAAATTTGGGTTAATGGAGATGGGGGTATCCCCCAACCCCCTTCACAGTGGCCAATCTGAGGATGGCCAAAGACCCACCTGCTGCAACATCGGCCATTAACCAGACAGTGGCGTCCTCATAGTCCAGACAATATCTTTTTCCTAATTGCTGTCACTTTTTAATTCTAGTTTTAAATTTCAGTGGTGGTAATATCTGCTGCTATCACCTGGAAGACTGGCCGAGGCTCCTACCCCATTCATTCCTGGACAGCTCGTTTCCAAAGCAGATCTGTCTAAAGTGGTAATGAGATGGTTGTCCCCCAGACTGAAGCTCCCTAGTGACTTTCCACTATGTGTGAAATCAAATCCAAACCCCTTCCATGTCAGTTGTCCCGCATCACCTCTCACTGACCCCATGCCTTACCCACTACGGTCACAGAGACCCTTCTGCCGGAACTGCCTGGGAAGGTCTGACCCTGCCCGGATTTCCTGCTAGACAGCAATTCCCATGGTTGGGTGAGACTGGCGTCTCCTCATCCAATCTTAGCTGGAAAGTCTGAAGATTCAGTTTAAAATGATTACCTGTTCAAAGTGCTCTTTCCTGAATGTCCTGACACACTCCTCTCCCCCATCAACACCCCAACTCTGTCTTGAACATCAGCCTGTTTTGGGTTTTCTTTACACACTTACTGACCACCTAATAGCATCACATTATTTACTGTCTACTTGCTCATGTGTTCCCTCCCTAAGTACACACTCCTGAGAGGAGATGCCTCATCGAGTCTCCTTTATCTCTGTAGTTCTGGTGCCTAAAACTTTATCAGGGACAGAGAGATGAATATAAATAGCCCCTAGCCTCAATGAGCTTAACGTCCAAGGGGAAAGAAACCTAGAGGTAAAGAACTCTGTAACAGAACTCTATACTAATTCAGAATGCAAAAAAGATGTGGACAAAGTACTACTGGAACTTGGAAGACCAAGCCACTAAATACCCCTGGGGTTCACATATGGTGTCAGAGAGTGACTTAAAGAATGAATAATGGGGAGGAACTCCTGATTAGGTGGAGAGTGGAAGGAAGATGAGGGAGGAGCCATTCAGGTAGAAGGCACAATCTGAAGACATGGCAGGATGAAAAAGCACCCCATTGTGTTTGGAAAGATGTTAAGTGGCTCGCCTTGGCCTGAGATGAAGCCGGAAAGCAGTACAGAGGCAAGATCATCAAGAATCCTGCAAGTCCTGCTAAAGAGCCGCAAATTCTTTCTGCAGAGCATGCTGCAGTTAAGGACTCCACAGGGAGTTTTGAGAGAAGGGCAAGCAGCCAGAGAAACAAGCCCTTACACCCCATCTCGGCCCAGAGAAGCTCCACTTCTGTCTAACATTAGGATTCCAAGTAAAAATCAATGCTTTAAAAACCTTAAAACCCTTGTCTGAAGCTCATGTCTGCTGGGGAAGCTTCTGAGAAATAAATCTGGGCTTCCCCCAACCTCACAGTAAATGCTCAGGTGCGTGTAGGTATGACTCTCCAGCAGGTGAGAAGGCAGACACCTGGCCAGAGCTTCCAGAACAGTCAGATGAGCAGGGCATCAGATATGGTGTATGGGGGGGGGGAATTAAACACAATACTGCCGTGTTCACACCTGAGTTGTGACATGTGAGTGTGAGTGTTAATACACAAACACACATAGTTTTGCATGTATGAAATTTTTCATAATTTAAAAGCACATACATAAAAGCATGTGTATGTCCATCTCTGCAGCAACGCACACATTTAACTGATTAAATCCTCTCTTCAGTAAGAGGGCTTTCTTCATCAATGGGCAAGCAGCAGACACAAACAGATGTTTGTTTTAAATCGCTATTAATGCTGGCAAATTGTTCCTTTACATGATTTCTTCTAAAATTGAAAAACCTAACTCCAAACGTGTCCCTGACAAAAAACCCAAAGAAGACCCATAAAACTTAGCATAAATTCACACATGGGCCTAGGATATCTGCAAACCACTAGTTTCCAACAATAAAACTTTAAAATGCCAGTTAATAAAGATGTTTGTATATGCATGGCAAGATTCTAGATGGAAGGAAGATAGAAAGTAGGGAACTGGGTAATAGGGAAGGGAGGTCGGGTAGGAGAAAGACTCATTTTCACTGTACACTTTCTTGTAATGATTTAAATTCTTTTTATTATACTATTATGCTATTCTATAATGTGTATTACTCTTTTTATTTAAATGCACCTGCTATTTTATGTTTAATTCACTGCTATATTATTTTGAAAAATTCATAACATTTTAAAAAAACTGAAGATACTTAATCTAGTAAGACAAATAGCCAGGAGAATGGCTGCAGGTGGACGCGGCACCTGGCACAGTCTCATTCTAGGCTGAAAGACAAGGAATCACAGCCCTGTGTCTTCCAAGGAGCAAGCGCAGGAGCGAGATTATATCTGTGCCTGAAACTAACTTCAGTAGCACTGTGGTAGGAAATGAATAGGGCTGAGGTGAAGCTAAGAACAGGGAGATTCCTTAATAAGGGATATTGATGTTGAAGCAATTACACTGGGGCTAAGTCAGAGGCAGAGCAAGTGGAATAAGCAGGACTTGGTGAGTAATCTGATGTGGAGAGTAAAGGAACAGCAGGAATCTGGGCTGATGCCGAAGTCTGCAGTTTGGAGAAGTGGGTAGACGGCGCCGCTACGGACTAAGACAGCAAATGAAGAAAGAGTATCGGTATTCAAAGGGGTTTTATGGTAAAATATTTTAGAATTTGTAATTAACTGATTCAATACTTCAACAAATATGTGATGAGGGTCTACTACATAGGGCACATCGTTATTAAAAGCTCAGTTTACAAAGATGAACAAGAGACAGTTTCAAATCCACTGCAACAATGAAGGGGCCTCTGCTTGCTGCAGCAGGCTGAGCCAGATTCTCTGTGGTTGCCATAAAAGACTAGATCCTGGATAAAATAAGCCTCTAGTTTATTGCTGTGCTTGCAGGAATAACAGGAAAA